CTCCTCCGCCCCAGTCTCGTCTCGCGCCTCCCCCCGCTCACCTCCCCTGGGCCCCCCCTGCCGCCTCCTTCCCCCGCTCCATCCCCGGCCTCGAGCTCCCGACTCTGCCTCGAGCGGGTGCGGACGGGACGAGAGTAAAAATCCGTTCCAGAGCGTTCTGGAACGCTCCCAGAGCGCTCCGGAACGCTCTGGGAAGGCCGCGGCGCCCGAGGCATCCTCCAGAGCCGCCAGATCTCAGAGATTCTGGTCCTGGCTTCGTGTTAGTTATAGTCCCCAGCCTCGAGCTCCGGATGCTGCCTCGAGCTGGGGGGGGGGTAGGGGGCCTCCTCCCCCCGCCTTCCCCACCCGTGCCGAGTTCACGTGGGAAGCTGTGGCGACCCCCTTCACGGAGCACCCACAGCCTTGCCGGCGATTCTCCTCTGGAAGCCTTGCCTTTCGGGAGCCTTGAGACGGGGGTCAATGCAAACGGGGGTCAGCCAGGACATCTGATCCTGCAGGATCTTGCGAAGACCCCCTCTGGCTGACCCGGGTTAGCGAGCCGCTCGTGGCCGCGAGGCGGCCGCGCGTATTGGCTGACCCGGGTTTGCGAAGGCCTGCGCTGCAGTTTTTTTTCCTGCCTTGCAGTTTCTGGTTTCCTGCTGGCCCGGGTCTGGATTGAAACGGGTCAGAAGACCCCCGACCTTTCCCCCTTCGCTTCGGGGCGTCTCGTGGCGGGTGGGCGGCGAAGCGGGGGGGTCGCAGGCCGCAGGAAGGGGGCCCCTCTCAGGGGTCCCCATCGGGGCCCCGAAGGTGCACGAAAGGGGTACACCTCGGTCTCCCCTCCTCCTCTACAGGGGCTGGGCCTGAACGCTGTCTTGCTGGACTTCGGCTGCGTGTTGTGTGTGTGTGTGTGTGTGTTTTCGGGCAGGGAGGTACAGGAAAGCAGGCAGAGCATTACCAGCCTGGAACAGATCCCTATCCCAATGCTGGGCATCTCCTCATCACGATGCCGATCTTAGGGATTCCCTTATTTTTGGAGGGCGAATCCCTAAGATTGGCAGCGCCTTTTTGCGTGTCGTTCTTAGGGATAGGGATAAGTTCGAGGCTGGTAAGAGCAGAACGAACAAGGAAACGAAAACGAACCGAAAAACAACGTTTAGGTCCAGCCCTGCTCGTCGACGTCGCGCCCCCGTGTGAAGCAACGCCCGCGTTCCCGCGGGTGCGCAGAGGCGGGGGGGCCCAACGAGGGCGGCTGGGTAGGGCCCCCGGCTCGAGGCTTAAGGCGGGCATGTCCCCCCACAGGAGGAATGTTCAAGACGAGTGGTAACAAAAATCGTCTGGGGACGATTGCCATCTATTTGTTTGTCGTTTGTTTGTTTTGTTTTTTGTTCCCCGCATTTTTTGTTCCAAATCCCTCTGTAGGAGGACGTGCCCGACCTAGCTCGAGGCCGGCATCTCCCTCCTCCAGGGGAGGTCGTCCGGGGCGGCCCTCCTCGAGCCCCACCTCCTCGCCGCCCAGCCTTACGTCGGGCGTGTGCCTCTACAGGGGGGAATCTTCAAAACATAGTCCACAAAAGTATCCAGGGGACGCTTTGTTGTCTAAACTGGGATTCTTGAGCACGTGTTTGCCTGTGTAGCATCCTTCGCCCAAGATCCGCCCGTAGGGGGACATGCCCGACCGAAACCCAGCCCCCTTCTGCATGCCGCCGAGGCTGATCGGGAGCGCCGCCCCTGGGCCATCCGTGGGCGCCCCCCTCGCCAAGCCGTCGGTGGAAGCAGAGCGCGAAGCGTCCTGGCTCGCCTATAGCCCCACCAGACAATGTTCTGAGAGCCTTTGTGTGGTTCCCACGGAGTGTCCTTGCAGAACATCCCTGGCGGAGCCTGTCTTGTTTCTTGGATCACATCGGGTGTATGTCCTGAGAACACTGTCTGCGTTCTTGGAACATGTTTGGGTTCGAAGAACCTCTTCGTGGGAGGACTATGGGAATGCCGGGACGGTCGGTCCCTGCTCAAAGGACACCCGCGCGGACTTCCGCCCCGACGGCGCAGCCCTGAGAAGCAATGGGGCGTTGCGTAATGTGGGGGTCATACATGGGGGCCGAGACCCCCTCGAGTAATTAACAAAAATCACGACGGGAGGTGTTTCCGGATTTTCGGCCTCCGAGGGACCTCACAGGGCCTCGGGGGCGTCAAAAAACGACTCCGGATGCAAAGCCGCTGGGGGTCCCGCTGGGAGCCCCGCCGCTTTTCCGCCTCCCCACCCCGACGAGGAGAGGGAGGGTTCTGGGGGCCGTGCGCGGCGGCTCTCCTCGGCCCGCAGCGCTTCGGCCCTGCCCCGCCTCTCGCCCCCCCCACCCCTGCCTGCCTGCCTCCTCCTCCTCCTCCCTGCCTGCCTGCCTCCTCCTCCTCCTCCTCCTCCTCCTCCTACTTTTCCTCCTCCTCCTCCTACTTCTCCTCCTCCTCCTCCTTCCTCCTCCTCCTCCTCCTCCCTCCTCCTCCCAGAAGTGGGAGGGAGGGGCGGGGACTGTGTGCGGGGCCCCGGAAGACGCAGGGCCCAAGTTTCAAAGAAGCTGCCCCCGTGGAGCATGCAGACGCTCAAGCAGCAGCCGTCCTTCCTGGTTTTGCCGATCGGCACGGGCCCTCGCACCCCCTCCGAGGGAGCAGACCTTGGCTGCTTTGGGCGCCTGTCTCGAGCAGGCGGAGCAAGCACGGGGGCCTCTGCCTCCCCCCCCCCCCTCTGGTGGACTGAGCCCTGTGTCAAGCAGTCGCGCTGAGCAGATGTCCAGAGCCAATCCCCTCCGCGCCCCCCCTTTCGCCCAATGCCGAAGCGCCGAATGAGACAATCTTTTCGGAACGATGCGAACCGCCCTCGGATTTTGGAACCAGAGCCAGAACCAGAGAACGTATGCGACGAAACCAGGGAACGTGCGCCGTATTTCGCAACAACACAATTTCAGAATGGGGCTGGTAAGACAACGGCCCTGTCACAAGACCCCCGACGTGATGGTTTTTGCATGACGTCGGACCCCTGAGTTCTCGACCCAATCCCAGGGACGGGTTTCTCATCTCGAGTCGTTTTTGCGAACACCGTCCGCCGTGCGTTTCTCGGGACCCGAAGGCCTGGGTCGCTTCCAGGGCTAGCGGATTGGACGAGCTCGTCATGTCTGGGATGGTCGTGGAGACCAACGCCGACCTGGTCATCCAGGCGAGCGGGCCACTCACAAGTCGAGTAGGGGATCGACTACAGGATTGATTTACCCCACTTTGGCATATCCGTCGAATCTACGGAGAATACGCAGAATATTCCATAGATGTATTGAGAATCCCTCACTCGAACAAGAGCGCAGGCGAGCGGAGCACTCATGGACTACGCGTGAGAGTGACCCTTCGCCGGAGTGACCCTTGGCGCGGGCCCCTTGGGCCTCCCCGATCGCCGACCAGAACGAATTTCGAGCACCAGAAAAGTATCCAAGAACTCAAGGGCTTTCACGTGTTGGGCCCTGGGAGACACTCGCCCGACACTGCTTCGACACTGCTTCGACACACGTTCGACGCTTTTCCCGGTGCTCGGAATTCTTTCTGGGATGTGGCCCTTAAGTACGACGGGAGCAACATACAGTCAAACACCCTAATAAGGACGCGCGAATTTGCTCAGGGTACCCTTGCGTCCTTGCTCTTCCTTGCTCTTGCGTCCTTGATGTGTTCGTCGCCCGCCGCCCCAAAAATCCCAACTTCGGCTTCCAAGGGTCTTGCGTCCTTACCGCGCGTCCTTATGGCCACTCTTGCGTGCAGCGGGGCACTCACGAGAGAGCACCGCGGGGAGGCTCTGCTCTGCGCGCGCCGGGCCGCGTGTGCGGGCGCGCCTTTCCCTCGCCCCGCGTGTCGCCCTCGGCGCGGTTCTCGCGCCGGAGGCCCGAGGGACGCGGCTTGTGCTCCGCTTGGGGCGATCGACACTCGGAGGCTGATAGACTTCCGGCCCTGACACGTCGATTAATGAATTGGCCGTTTTCAGTTCGCGAGAGGGCGGCGTCGTGGCCGTCGTTTCTGCGGGTCCAGGTCCGCCGGTTGCGGTCCCAGGCCGTTTTCACGAAGGCAAGGTTTCCTACAGGGAGGTTTGTCCACCGCCGAGACATGGTTAATCACCACCCACCAAACCACCCCAACCCAACCCGAAAGCCTCAATTTGCCCTCCATTTCCAGTGGGGGGGTGTCGGGGAACATCGAAAAAACACATATGGAACCCGTACCCTCCCCAACCCGAAATTCGGGTCTTCGGGTTGGGTTGTGGTGGTCTGGCAGGGAGTCAGTAACTGCGGAACGAACGGGTACCCTGCGATCGTGGCGTCTCGATTCTGTCGAGCCGGGCGGGGTCGCCCAGATTTGGGCCCCGGGGACCCTCCCAGATCGGCGCGGAGCGAGGAGTGGGGCAGAAAGAATTGGAGTCCAGGGCTCCAGTCGCGAGTCTTCGCGAGGTCTCCATTTTGTCGAGGCGTCGGATCTCGCGGTGCGGACACGGGCAGCGTTCCCGATCGACATGGCTGTGGAAAGCAGGGGCCGAGACCCCTGGGGGTCGATTCCTTTTGAGTGGGGCTCGTTGTCGGTGCAGTCGCGGGCGAGGCCCAGTCGCCTGCCAAGCAGCGGCCGCTATCGGTTTTGGGCAGCATGTGTTGCCGGGCAGCGTGCCCATTGGTTCTGTGCCCATGTCGGGCGTTCAAGTCTTGGATGCTCATTCTGGGGACCTTCCTGGAGACACTCGCTCCACTTGTGTGTCGAAGCTGCGTCGAACGTCCGTCGACTTGAGCCGACATGGAGTCGAACTGGAGTCGAACCAGAGTCGAACGTGAGTCGAGCTTGAGTCGAACTTGAGTCGAACTTGAATCGAACTTGAATCGAGCTTGAGTCGAAGAGATCAATTAGGTGGGCCCCAGGAAGGTCCCCTAAACGAGCATCTAACAAATCTATGGGGAGATCAGAGGCAGTTTCCCTTGACCTTCCAGGAGGGCTGGAGAATAGCACCAGGA